AGCAAAACAAGGAATTAATTCACTGCTTCCCAAAGACAGGAGGTGTTCAGCCATCTCCAGGAGAGCAGGGCCCATCACGCGTAACAGTTCCTTGGGAAGACAAACACCATCACTCCAGATGTCCCCTCTTCCTCCTTCTTCCTCCCAACTTATATACTGAGCATGATGTCATATGGTATGGAATATCCCTTTGGTCAGTTTGGGTCACCTGTCCCAGCTGTGTCTCCTCCCAATCTCCCATGCACCCCCAACTTCCTTGCCAGCCTGGCAGTGCAGAAAGGAGCAAAGGCCTTGACTCTGTGTAAGCTCTGCTTAGCAATAACAAAAACATCTCTGCATTATCAACTCTGTGTTCAGCACAAAACCCAAACATAGCCTCATACTAGCCTCTATGAAGAAAGTTAACTCTGCTTCAGCTCAAACCAGCACATAGCCCAACAAGACCTATTGTTGCAGGATTTAGGGGCCTCTGTTTTAATTATTAGAGTTGGGGCCATCTTCCCCAGCCCTATATTTCCCTTGTCTGTAAAGTCCTTGCATAAGAATGAGACCAGATCTGAGTGAGATGAGATAAATAGCACCAGAAACTGTCCTAAGTCCAGATTTTAGGATATTTTTCCTTTAGATAAAGTTTTGGAAAGAATTTCATAGAGAATGGCAAGTCTTGCACACCCAAATCCAGATTATGGTTTAGCATAGCTCTTGTATAACACAAACACAGTTTCACTCTAACGTGAGTGGAAAGTAATGCATCACCTGAACACGTACAGCTTGGGAAGGCAGTAGACATTCAAGAAGTCTGTTGAGGAGTTTAAAATGATTTGATGTGGCCTGTGGCTCTTGAAAGGATCATGACAACCTCCTGTTTCATGAGTGGAGCAGAGGGAAAGGCATGCTGTACTGCACAAAGGTTGCATGTAGTCATCTCATCTCTACCCACAGACCTGTTTCCTCTCATCATTAATTCATTTTTTTCTGATGTCTAAAATCTCACATCAGTCTATGCTTTCAGGGCATTTTGGGCTCAGGGCTGGCATTGAAGGTCCAGGAGCAACATCGTCAAAAACATTTTGAGAAAAGAAGAAAGCCAGCAGCTGAACTCATTCAGGTTTGCAGCCACTTATCTCTTCCTTGGAAAAGTCTTGTGTATGAAGACTGCAGCATCATGTTAACAAAGGCCATCACTTCCCCCCTGCCCAAATTCTCATTTCCCATTGCAGGAGGTGAGAAGGTGTGTTTGTCAGTTTTTTCACACTGAGCCAGGTAATGCATCTTTGCAGTTTTTGAGGAATCTTTCAACTCCCAGAGTATCTTTCAGAAGAACAGTGTCTTTAGAAGAAAGGGTCTCTTCTGCTAGCTTCTGGAAACCAACTTCTGTATCAGTGCCACAAAATCACAGAAAACAAGCGGTCAAAAACATTCTTTTCAAAATCCAGGTTTTGTCAGTTCCCTTGAGAAAGTCATTTTATGTGCAAAATTATGTCGTTATTGAAGTGAAAACAGCAAAATAAGTAAAACAATAGGCAGTGACTGTTTCAATTAAGGCAAATAGCATAGACAGTGTATGTGGTTTTCAAAACTAAAACACACCCTGAATCTTCTGTTATGTCACTGGATGACCTGAAGATTCAGTGAGAATAGAGTCTTTAGATTACTTGGACTTCAGTTATGGCCTTTGCTATGAATTAGGAAATTTAGCTTAAAATCACTAGTCTGGGTGCTGACAAATTTGACAGGAGTTACTTTTAATAGGCATGGAGCACATTCTGAGCCCAGTGAAGTAAATGGCAGCATTTTCATGGAGGGACAGAGTGAGTTTCTGTGATATCAGATGGAAGTGTTGGTGCTCAGGACTGCTCAGGATCAAACCAGTCCTCAGAAGAAACAGGCTGAGTTGTATATTATGTTGCTCTCATTAAAACCACTCCTTAGCAAACAGAAGGGACTGAGGGCATGAGTTGTTGAATGGAATTGACCTTTTAAATTAAAGCATCACTGCTTAGCAGGTAGCTTATTTAGCTACAGTGGTTTTTAGGTTTGTGCTTAGAGAATTTTGATTGGAGCTAAATGCTCAGCAAAATTTCCTCTGATGGTACATTAAACAGTAAACTATCTAGAGCACTTCCAGAAATACTGGACAAGCCCAGCAGTGCTCAAAGCTATTTTAGACATACCAGACAGGAGAATAAAAAACAGTTTAGTCAAATGTAATGTCATGTTGATGTTCGTGTATCTCTCCATGTCCTATCTCCTTTAACAACCCTCCTACACAACCCAGTGTCAATAGTTTTGCCATATAATGACTCTCACTTGGTAAGTCTGATTAGTAATCAGTTTCTAGAGAGCTGCTCGTGTGCATCGTTATGGTCTCGGCAACAGTCTGGCTGCAGTCAGCCTGGGGAATGGCTTCACCTAATACTAATTATTTCCTCTCCCTTATGATTCAGGCTGCCTGGAGATACTATGCTACTAACCCCAACAGGATTGATTTAGTTGCTACCTGGAGGTTTTATGAATCAATTGTATCATTTCCGTTTTTCAGGTAGGTGCATTGTCCACCCCTCTATCATAATCTTCGGTGAAGTATCAGTCAAGACAGGGAACATAGACTTTGAATATATCAACAAGGGTTTTTTAGGTAACAGATAGCTGCCAGTTAACTTCCTGGCTGAGAATGAAAAATGTGCTTTTGGCTTCTGCACCCATTTCTTCTCCTTTCCCCTGGTGGGACGTGCACGTGGTTGACTCCACCAGTGGCTAATGTTGGCATTAAACAAAGGAGAAGTCTGCCTCTCCATCAGCTTCCCATTGTAAGAACCTGTAACTAATTACCCTGGAAATCTCAATTTCTCCCTCTGTAATTTTGATCCTGATAAAGTTTTAGCCCTGGATTTCAGAGGCAGCTGTACTTCTCAGAGTCTCTATGATGTGGGTGTATACTTTAATATATGGTCTAAGCTGCAAATTCTTGCTTGTCCTTCTTTAACTCAACTGGCCTGAGAATTTTGTTGTTCTCAGAGGTGACCGTGGCATGTGAACATAATTAATGCTTGCTAAACACTTGTCTTTTGGCAATACCAGGTGCTCAAGGGGATAATTCAGTGGAGGACAGCCAAAACATATTTAAAACTGTCTCCCACTGAAACTATTAATTGACAGCTCACAGGAAAACTCTTTTGAGGAGTTGAATTCTTAGTTTCATTTCGGTCACCACTTCTGAGTTCAATGGAAAGCATTTCATACATAAAGTCATTCAAATATAATAGATGCTCATATGTTCATGGCTATGAGTCTGTCTGATACTCACTTTCCTTGTCTGTCAAGCAGGTACCTTTCTCACAATGATGTCTTAACATTTTAAGGTGTTGTTTAAAAAAACTATATGGCCTTATGAAAGCAAAGACTTTTAGCTGTAGACTATCAGCTGCTAATAATAGGAATTAGTTAAAGTTAATGCTTTAAGCTTTCATTCTGAAAAAATGTGCTCAGCTCAGAGGTCTCCACATGTAAGTCATGCTCCCTGCACTAATACTGCAACTCCAGCTGTTGCTCAAAACCCACTTGAAATGTTTCAGGCTCCTGCCTTCACAAATGGCAAATTACAAGTACTAACTCTTCCTTTTATTCACAATATTATTCCTTAGGACTGATTTCACATGCTTCAAAAAGGAAATTGCTAAAAGAAGCCCCCACCATAAGTGCTTAATTAAAGCTCAATATATTTTTTTCCTTTTCTTTATCCCTTCTCACTCTCTGTCTGTTCCCACATTTTCCATTATAGAGTAATTTCTAGAGGGTTTCTTGACCTCGGGTTTTTTTAAGAGAATAATTCTGAGACTCACACAGAGTCTAGACTCACTACTTTGACTTCAAGCTTGTTCATTGTCTGTAGGTTCTTCTGTGATTCAAATGAAACCTGAAATTTAATAGGTGTTTTGCAAATAAGGTCCTGGGAGAGAGGCCAGGTGAGATCACTTCTCACCAAAGACTGGATTGCCAATCTAAACAGCACAGATTGGTTTCAGGAATCTATATCACTTTCTTTGCTTTATGGCTAGTTGAAAATGTAGCTTTTATTCTGCTGTCAGTTACGGTCACAGAACGGAAGAGGTATAAACTATTAGCAGTCGATTAGCGATTTGTATTTTAAAAATCTGCTGAATTTATCGTGTGATTCTTCTCTCCTTGCTTTCTTGCAATGCTTCCTCTCTTCTATAAAAGGAAAGAGCAATTGGATGGTACTGCCAGGTATGTAGCTGCCATTATTTTATGTGTATGTTTTAATGCAGTTACTGGAGGATGCAAGTTAAATAGTTCTTTGTGGACTCGTGAGCTGTTAACCAAAACATGCTACTAACACCACAGGTAGCCATTAAAATTATTAACCAATCCATTTCCTAACTGCTTGCTTTTTTCCCAGTTTAGTATCATAGCTAAAATGCTAATTGTACAAAGGTAGTGTTGCTTGCTGATTGTCTGTTAACAGCTTTATTGTTTGTTATGATTAATCATGGTCTACATTTCTCCTGATCCATGCTATAGAGCCAGGGTTTAGCATTCTGGCTGTCCTGGGGTAAATTTAGAGTTCTGCTTCATGTTGTTGCTCCACAGTCTTGCACAGAGCAATGTTGTGGTGTAAGGGACCAAGTCTGTTTCCATTCACCATGTGCAAAGATTTCTTGACAATAAATACTAAGATGAATGTCTAAGATAGAACAGCAGGATAGTCAATCTCTCTGGCAGTACTGTAAAAGCTATGTTAGGTTTGAGGCCTTGGTTCCACCCCTGCTGAAAACAAATGGGAAAGCTCCCAGTCACACTGGGGAATTTACAAGTGAAGAGAATGAAGGAACCATCAATCCTAATACTGGTCAGTCACCGAAGACTACAGCAGAGCAGTCACTGTCAGTCAACCTGCAAGGTCTCAAATGGAAATGATATATTTATAACCCTCTTCAGCTAAGTAGAAGAGTCAACAGCATGTACAATAATTCTAAGTAAGTCAAAACTTAATGCTATACTGCTATCAATGGATCACCCGCAATGAAAGTCAATAGCAATTAAAGCATACATAGTTCCACAGACTCATGGTGAAGCTAGTTCCATTTGCATCCCCATTTACCACGCAGAGAAAAGAAATAAGAATTGTAGCAATATTTGAAAACAGTTAGTCAGAGGTCAGGCCTGAGTTCCAGTCCCTGGCCTGATGAAAAAATGCCTTTTCCTTTTTGCTTTTTAAACATTTCGTGCAACACATGATAGCTTCAATAAAGGAAGTTGAAAAAAGAAATGAACACTTGCAGTTCTCCTATGAATTTTTGGGGTTCAAACCTTATTTAACAGAAAATAAAATCCTATCCCAACTTCTCTTACAGTACAGATAAGTGCTCTAGTGACAAATTATTGGGAAAGGATGTCTTCCCTCTCTTGCCACCATCGTCATGAGTTAAACTGCTCCTCTTCAAAGACTGCCTGGGTGGGAGCTACCTACTTTGTGAACCCTCATGAACCTTAAGTACTCTACATCCCTGGCACTGCCAAGCCCGTGCAGTCATGAGCAAGCTCAATTGCATTAATGTAGATGTTTGGAGATTTTAGCCGTCTCCAGTGTTGGCAACAGCTGACTTTTGGTCTTTAATATAAAGGAGAGAGCTTATGAGCTGAAATCCTTTTAAGTATGTAATTCCATACCTTCTGTCAAAATGTTCTGACTCAGATGCAGAAGTAGATTAAAATTAAGTGAATGATTGCTGCAGTTTACTGTTGGTCACAGCCCCCCGAGAGAAGCTCCTGCGCCTGCAGCAGCTGAACAGTTTGTGGAGTAGCTTTGAGTTACTGTAGTTTTTCAGACCACTAGAAATCATTTTATATTGACACACTGAATTAAAAATGGAAAAGCATGACTCAAAGCTCAAAATCTTTAAGACTATAATCCCAAAGCCTCTAATTCTAGTTGGATATAGCTTGATTTTATGTTGTTACATATGTAATAACCTTCAACAAAATCATCAGTAAACCTGCATTGGAGCCTTCTTGTTAGCAGAAATGTTTTTATGAAATGAAACATTCAATTAAAGGGATTGGAAACCCTCCAGGTAAACAGACAAATGATGGTACTTGTGGGAGCATCCACCGACTTCAATAGAAATGGGATTGAGCCATAAAATCTGGTTGTTTTGACAGTACCACCTCCCATCTCTCATAAAAATCTTATTTACAGACCAGATAATTTAAAGAAAAAATAAGGAAAAGAAAGAAAAAAATCCTCTTCCTCCTACAGTAATTTAGGATAGAAAGTATTACTCGTACTCCACTGCAGTTTGTGCTTTGGCTGTATTGAAACAAATGAGCAATAAGGGAACATGGTCCTACTGGAAAGAGCAGCCCATAAGTGCCCTCAGTCTCCAGATTCTTAAGGGGACTTAAGAACTGGGACTTAACACCAGTTAATTACTTAAGGGGAAAGCAGCTGTAGTAATAAATGGCATTGTCTGATCAGTGGTTGATAAGGAGAGAGAAGAATTGGTCTAAAGATTTCATAGAAGCTTTTAATAAATTAAAAATGAGGCCTGGCTGCGTCAAAATTTGAGGATGGGAAGTGCTTTCAGTGGCAAGGTTTCTACTGAGTGGCGTGAAAGGTCTTTAGGAACTCCATAGTACTAGAGTTGAACTCTGTGACAGATCCTTCTAGGATGTCTCCTTGGAAGCAGGAGCTGGCATCACGACAGAGTCACAGCTAGATCCATCTCCTTGTTCTTAGACCATTTGCCAAAAACACAGGGGACACATCAGAGTGGAAGAGTCCATTTCAGAAGTTGGATCCCAAGGCAAGGCTGCAGGGAAGGACTTGTCATGGTAGAAAACTGATCAAAGTTTGGCAGCAGTCCAAGGCTTTATTGAAGCTCCCATTAAACTAAAACTGTGAAGACAGGAGATATGATGAAGAACACATTGCACTGCCCTTCCTAGCCTGGATCCTGTAACAGTGAAGGGAAGTGGTACATATGATGCTACTCTGTTAAGAATAGCATTTTCCCTATGGGCTCTGTATATTCCCCCAGCCCAGGAGTAACTGGGGCTGTGCTACCCATGACTCACTGGTGGGAAGTTTGCTGACTTCGTGCCAGAGGTGCCACTAGCTTTTACTTCCTTAGTCAGTGCCCATGAAATCTCACATAAATCTCAGCCTCATGAAATCTCAGATGACAATTGCTCCTCTCCATGTATTGCAAAGCCTTTTCATCTGTTCAGCTTTCAAGCAGGAAGATTTATGAGAAAGAGGTACTAATGCTCATTTCTGCCAGGCTGCAGCAAATCATTCAGCAAACATTTGGGAGCCTGACCTACATTTAAGATGGGCCTTTGCTTGATGGACATATTGTTTATTCTGAACTGACTTTTTATGTCTGTATTTGTGGAATGAATATTGGGCCTATTTCTTCAGCACTGTTGTTAGCATCTGTTCCACTGATTTTGACTCGTGTTGAAACTTCGGCACTTTAGTAAAGAATTTTAGTGAAGAAATAGGGTCTTGTTCCTAAACCCCATTGTCCAACCACAGAGCTAGAAATAAGGAGAGCATGTTCATTCCTAGATCTATTATTATATGATTACAGAAAAGTAATTTATCCCTGTTTCCTTATCTCTACAAGATAAATAATATTCTCTGCCTTTGGAAAGTTGATCTTTTTAAGTGGCATAATCAGTACCTATTATGTGAGTATGAAAGAATATATAAAATGTGGTGCATTTTTGTATTGCCAGTGCTAACAACAAAATGAAAATAAAATCATACTTTGCAGGGTGTAAAATTTCACTGTTAGCATTTCATCATGATACATCTGCCCAAAACAGGAAGGAGAAAAGAGCCACTCTGATCTGCACACTACATTAACTACAAATGAAAGGCTGTTCCCATTCTTTATCATAGAGCTTTTCATGGGTAATCATTAACGTCTCATCTTAATAACTTTTCTTCACTTTACAGTAATGTCATGTTTAGTAGGGAGTCATTCTTTGGATCAAGCCTCACAAGAAAACTTAGGTATATACATTCAAGTAACAGTTGAGCCTTATTCTTTTCATATTTCTTGCATGCCATTCTCTGCCTGCACTTTCTGTTTTTACTACAGTAGTTCATCTGACCACCATCAAAAGGAAGGGGCAATAAGACTGAAAAGTTATTAAGCATAAAAAAAGAATTGCATGACCTGGTTAATTGTTCTGCTGTTCAGAAAACATGGGATATAATCCTGGCTCTCCCAGTGATATGCTTAAAAACAAATGCCTTTTCTCTGTTTCCATAGAATGGGAATGATACTAACCTACTCTGCAAATCATTTTAAAATTTACTGTAAGAAAAATATACTGTAAGAGCTAAATACTGTTCCTTATGCAGTCCCAACCCTGCCAACACAAATTCATGCAAGTTACTTTGAGTTTGAGTTCAGTGGAACAACATCTTTGCATGTGTATTTGCAGGTTCTGGTTCAGCAAATGGAAAACAAGTGGATGCTTTTGATCATCTGAATAAAGTTAGTGACATGCTTAAATATCTTGCTGAACTGTGACCTAAGATGTGGGGCAAGAACTTTATATTCCTGCAAAGAAACATAGAAATAATTTGTGGCATTTTAGCAATATGAAAGACATATTAGAAATAATATTTTGACTGAATTGTCAAGCATTTTGTTCTATCCCACACAAACACCTTGCTGTCATTCAACTTTAGCTCCTTGTTCTCATTCCCACTTCATTCCACAAACATGAAATCATCAAACAACTCAGCTTTTCTAGCTGAAGCTCTTCAGCTTTGGAGAGCAGCTAGTGAAGCACTCCATTTTTTCATCTGATGATTGGCCCATGCAAAATAGTCAAGAGGCATTGATTTTGCAGTTTGATTTGCATTCTAGTGGTTGATACATGGAGATCTGTTCACTGCAAAGCAAAAAAGTGGGTCAACATCCACAAGGTTTCTACCTGCAACAGCTGCATCCATTGGTGAAAAATATCCATCCTGTTTTCACAAAGAATTGGATTTGAATTATTCTTCCCATAGATTTACATGACATTGTTTGTTTTTATCCATCTCAAATCATTTTAGAAAGTGTGGTTGAGAAAAGGGGCTAAGAAAAGGCCTTTTGTGTGCATAAGGGCTCTTTCTCTTTCTGAAGGGCATCAAAGTTGAGCCCAAGTTAGGACTTAGGTTCATGTTTCTGGGCAGATAATGTGGTTGATAGGTGAGTTTG